CCATTTAAAATACCCCAAACCTGCTTGATTCTAAATGCTGTTTGAATTTCCTCAAGACTCCTAATTCCCAAACCACCTTCTGTTTTAGGTTTAGAGATATCATTCAATGAAACCCAGTGTCTTCTCTTAGATCCAATCTGATTTGACCAGATGAAGTTAGAGATAAGAGAATTCAGCTTACTCAGTACACCTTTTGGAATATTCAGACAAGCCAATATGTGAATAGGGATTGAACTAAGTACTGATTGTATCAGTACAATTCTTCCCATACCAGATAACAATTTGGCATACCAACCCTCAATTCTCTTCCTGAATCTGTTCACCACCTCTTCAAAATAGCATTTCTTGATTCTTCCTCTGATAATGGGACATCCCAGATAAGTAAAAGGACATTCTTTAAAAGGAATTCCCACCTGAGTAGCCAAACTATTCCTTCTAGACAAGGAAATGAGCTTAGAACAAAAAACAGCACTCTTCAACTTGTTAACCTTTTGACCAGAGCTTGATTCATATATAGCAATAAACTTCATAACATTCAATACAGATTTTCTGTTACCTCTTAGAAAAATCAGAGTATCATCAGCAAACAATAGGTGACTCACAATAGTTGTTCCTCTCCCAATATGAAAATGATTAACCAAATTTTGACTATAAATGCTCCTCAGCCCTCTACTCAGTACTTCTTCAGCCAAGATGAATAAAGAAGGAGAAATAGGATCCCCCTGCCTTAGTCCTCTTGAATTAGCAAAATAACCATACCTTTGCCCATTTAAACATATAGTGAAGAATTGGCTATTCAAACAGTTCAAAATGATATGGTTGAACAAATCAGAAAATCCAAAACTAGCCAGAGCTTTCAGCAAGAAATCCCATTCCATCCTGTCATATGCCTTCATCATATCTAGTTTCATAACCATATTGCCACCTTCAACCTTCCTGTTCAATTCACCAACAAGTAGTTGCCCCAAAGCCACACAATCACTAATCCCTCTGCCTTGAACAAAACCATGTTGCTCCTCAGATATCAGAGCAGGAAGTAGAGGAGATAATCTAGTATTTAGAAGCTTTGTAAAAATCTTATACATGAAGTTACATAGGCTTATAGGTCTGAAATCCGAAAATGTACTAGGATCCTCCTTCTTAGGAATCAAGACCAATAAAGTAGAATTCACAGATCTGGGGATCACACCTCCTTTAAGCAAAAAATTAATAGCTTTGACCACATCATCTTTAATGATATCCCAGGCAAATTGGAAAAACTTACCAGACATACCATCCGGTCCAGGAGCACTCTCTATAGCCATTGAGAAAACAACATCTTTCACTTCCTCCATAGTAGCTTCAGCTGTAAGTCTCTCATTATCCTCATTACTGATAAGCTTTGGAATAACATCAAATATGTGTTCTTTGATGATATGCTCCTCAGACTTATAAAGATCAGTATAGAATTCCTCAGCAACATCAGCCACCTGCTTATCCCCATATACCCACACTCCTTCTTTATTCTTAATTCTTGAAATTTTGTTTCTGATAACTCTACTTTTAGCAATAGAGTGATAAAATCTAGTATTTCTCTCTCCTTGAATAGCCCATTTCACATTTGATTTTTGTTTCCAATAGATTTCCTCTCTTCTCAGCCAATCATCCATCTCACCTTTAATTACTTCTAACTCTAAAGCTTTAGAATCAGAAAAGTTCTGATCTAATTCCATTTCAATTCCACTAGTCTTCTGTTCAAACTCTTTCAACTTTTCAAAAAGGTTACCAAAAACCTCTATATTCCACCTCCTCATATGAGCCTTCAGATATTTCATTTTGATGAACACATTTGACACTGGGTTATTTGAATACTGTCCAGTCCACTTAGATTTAATTAAAGCCAGAAAATCTTCATGATCACACCACATATCTTGAAATCTAAAGTAGGAAATTCTTTTCTGTATAGGACTATCCATAATTTTCAATAATAAAGGACTATGATCAGAGGAACCTCTTGCCAGATGAACCACTTCCATGCTGTCCAATTCCAGATTCCAATAAGGATTAATCAGAGCTCTATCCAGCCTCTGCTTCATTCTTGTAACCCCAGCTCTATTATCACACCAAGTAAATTTATTTCCAACAAAACCAGCATCCAACAAACCCCTGTGATCCAAAAAGTCACCAAACTCCTCCATAGATAGCAAAGAAGGAAAAGCTCCTCCCAATCTTTCAGCAGAAGATAGAATGGTATTGAAATCACCAACTACCATCCAAGGAACCTTAGGAGGAACATCTATACTCAACAAATGTGACCATAAGGACCTTCTCTCAAAAATATCACAACTAGCATATACAACAGAAACCCAAAGAATAAGTGAATTCCTGAGTGTAATTTCCACAGTCAGTACTTGAACATGTTCAAACATTACCTTCAATTTGATTCTCTCATCCCATAAAACCCAAATATTCCTTTCAGCTAAAGTATTAGAACAGAAATGCTCTAATCCAATGCTCCTAGCAAAAGGAACCAGTTTGGACACCAACAGTTTGGGCTCTTGAATTGCAACAAGACAAACATCATGCAATTTAATGAGTTTCTTTAATCTCCTCCTCTTAGCATCTTTACCTGCCCCTCTCATATTCCATGATAGAAAATTAATCATAAATTCATAGAAGAGTGGACACCACTGGAACTAAATCCATTATCATCCTCATTTCCATCCAAAGAGCTACCAGAATTATCAGAATCAACATTTACAACCTTCTGAGTCCTAGAACTAGCTTGATCAGAGTAGTAACCTTTATCTGGAGGTTCTCTTACTCTAATCAAACCATTCTGATCATCTAAAGACTTCTGACTCCCTCTTATAACAGTCATTCCATTTTCAACTAAAAAGGAAGAACCCAAAGATTGAGCATAAAGAGTTTTACACTCTCCAAGAACTTCCATTAGGTTGACATCATTCAAACTCTGATTAAGAGGAACTAGTTTTTCCCCTATATTAACATTGTTTCCATCAATATCTCCCACATTTACCACCTCATTAGCAACAGGCAAAAAGATAGGAGATGAAGAATAAGAAATCTCCAAGTTAGTACCTTCATGATCTGGCAGAATAGGAGATTCCAGACTGATGCCAACATTATCAGTGCCATCACCCTCTTGATTTCCACAATCCACAACCATTGGGGAAATATCAAGAGACCCAACCTCAACACCCACAACATCATTAATCAAAGCAGCATTTGCAATATTACACACATTGATCATCTCCTGTGGAACTGGATCAGTGATCAGTTTATCAGCAACAGATGCTCCAATATCAGGACTCTTATCAGCACTGAATGTCTGCCCCAATACAGCCATATTCCTACCATTTTCCATATCCTCCATTCCAATCACCCTTGCATTTCCCACCTCAGCATCAACAGTTGTAATATTTGGATTTGCAGCATTATCAATATTCACCATAATAACAGAAGATAATCCATTTTCAATAACCTTTTCAGGTAAACTTTCAGATAAATTCCTGCCATTATCCATTTCCTCCATTCCAACCTCCTCATTCAGTACAGCAAAGCTATTCTCCACAGCAGTAGTTTGATTCATGGATTTCTGTCTATATTCCTTTCTGGGATGCACACTCAGTCCATCTATAACAATAGCTTTTCCTTTCTTTTTCCTCCATTCCTCATCCTTGTTAAGAACATGTTCAGTTGTTTGCTTATTCTCAGAGGCATCACCTTCCACCTTCTTCTTTCTTCTGCACAATATTTCATCATGCCCTTGCTTAAGACAAGCAGGACAATATTTATACTCCTTTTCATATACTATCCTCTGCCAACGACCACTCACTCCCCCCATGTCTAACCAGAATCTCCTAGGATTACTGGCCAGAAGATTCATTTCCACACAAGCCCTGGCTACACCAGGCCTAGAGAGATTTAGAGTAGCATTGTCTATCACCAAAATTCTACCAACTGGACTCAATATATCCCTCAGACTCTCTCTATTAAACAAATGGATTGGAAGACCTGGCAAAGATATCCATACTGGTACAACAGGAGGCTCAATCCCAGGATAGAATTCTGGAAACCATTTGAAGAAACGAAAGAGGTAACCCTCAATGTATGTATTATCCTTTAGCCATACTTTCACATAATCCTCATACAAAGAAAATCTAATCAGTACATGCCTCGGATCAAGCACTCCTACAGAAAATTCCCCCTTCAATAACCATCTAGAATTAATAAACTCTTTTACCACACCCAGTGAGGGTCTACCATAGGCACATTTGCCAATAAGAGTTTGATTAAAACCTTTGGAAAGCTCCATAGTTTCAACAGGGGACCAATACATACCAGGTTCCCCTTTATTAAACACAACTCTCTTCGTAGGCTTCAGAGGATTTACAGCATTTAAGGAACCAAATAGAATTGGAGGCGAAGGAACCTGAATAGTAGAAGGATTCTGAGCATTCGATGTAACAAGAGGAACCTGAGAATCTCTTCCAGTAATCGGGATCTGAGTTTTTGGCAGAAGTCGGTCAATCGAAGGATCTTGAGAAGATGAATTGGATGGAGGAATCAAAACAGAATGGGAATGCAGATTAACTCCTTGAACATTTCGAACATTCGAAGAGTCGGCAGGAATAGGCATTCCTAATCCAGATGACGAACATTGATTATTTGTTGAAGATAACACAGCCGAAGGGAAAACAGAGGCATTCTGAACAGTCATCGAATTTCGATTCAGCTGAGAAACCAGAGGCATAGAAACGGTGTTATTGCATCCCAAAGGATCAACAAGTGTTAAGGAATTGATCTCTGAAGCAGCAGGAATTGTCCGAAAGTTTTCTACAGATGTAGTTTTCTTGAACAAGGAGGCAAAATTTTTGGTAATGTCAGGCGGTTTTGGAGGAATCTGATGAATTTCATGGCTAGATTTCATGCTATGACAATCAAAACAGTAAGAATTACAACAAATCACAAGTAAGAATGAAAATTGAGATAGGAATGAAGAAGATCTGAAGAAGAAAGAGAAAATTCTAGAGAGAAGTCAGACCTTCTCTCTCTAAAAAGAAATAACTGCCCCCTCTTCTAAACCCTAAACCCTAAACCCTAAACCCTAAACCCTAAACCTTAAACCCTAAACCCTAAACCCTAAAACCTTAAACCCTAAAACCCTAAACCCTAAACCCTAAACCCTAAACCCTAAACCCTAAACCCTAAACCCTAAACCTAAACCTAAAACCCCAAAACCCCAAAACCCTAAACCCTAAACCCTAAACCCCTAAAACCCTAAACCCTAAACCCTAAACCCTAAACCCTAAAACCCTAAACCCTAAACCCTAAACCCTAAACCCTAAAAAAACCTAAAAAACCCAAAACCCAAAACCCTAAACCCTAAACCCTAAACCCTAAACCCAAAACCCAAAACCCTAAACCCCTAAACCCTAAACCCTAAACCCTAAACCCTAAAACCCTAAACCCTAAACCTAAACCCTAAACCCTCAAACTACTACTTTAATCTAGAAGCAGCATATTTCGCCTAGTGCGCAGCTTATAGGATGGAAATTATTAAGGAATGTACTTCCTGTGGATTCTACTTTTATATCTATGGGTGTTGTTGTTGCAAGTAGATGCCCATTATGTATGCAACATTCAGAAATTGTGGAGCATCTGTTTGTACATTGTGGATATGCTCAAGCTGTGTGGAATTATTTTGACTCTTCTATGTGTTTTGGATTGGTAATGGGTGAAGATCCATTAACTAGATTTCGAAGAATGGCAAAGGATATTTAGAAGGCATTCTGTTAGTCATGGACTTTTGCAGAGTCTTCCATTAATCATCTTTTGGCAGCTATGGAGTGAAAGATGTCGACGAATGTTTGAAGGGGTTAAGTTACATTCACTTCTTTGATTATTAGAATTAAGCAATTCTTAACCTATCAAAAATATCTCCTTAAGCCAAAGGTTGCTGATTCCTTACAAGGGAAGAAGTTGATGATTTCTCTTAATATCTCTCCATTTATGGTTCAATCAAAGGCATTATGGGTGTCTTGGATTTGTCCACCTGACGGCCTTTTAAAGATGAATGTTGATGGGGCTGCAAAGGGAAACCCAGGGTTATCCGGTGGTGGTGTAGCGGTGCGTAATCAGTGGGAGTAGCTAGTTATGGCAGCTTCAAATTTTTATGGAATGTGCATTAACATGGAGGCAGAGATCAAGGCGTTGATGGATGGTTTAAAGCTCTACAATAAATTTGGTTTGTCTGATTATCAATTGATTATTGAGACAGACTCCATAATCCTGGTGGATATGGCGAAAGAGAGATGTGGTTGTAATTGGAGATTTAAGACATAATTTTATCAGTTGCAGCAACTCTTAACAGGCTTAAAGTTTGAAATTCAACATGTATATCGTGAAGCAAATGCAGTTGCTGATTATCTAGCAAATCAAGGAGTCCAACAAAGACAATATATGGAGCTAATTTCAGCTGAGAGTCTCCCACTTGAGGGCTGAAGTTTACTGCAGTAGGATCAACGACAACAAAAAGTTCTAAGAAGAAAAGAAGTCAAAGTCAGCTGAGAATTTTACTGATTTTTGGATTTTATAATCTTTATTACATGCAGATTTAATTTTATATTCTTCTCAAAATCAGCCCAAGCAATGTAGTTGTGGAGGAGTTCAAGCTTTCTTTAAAGATGCAACTCAGTCACTATTCACAGTACTGTTCAAGAGTACTATTCATTGATACTATTCACAAGTATTGTTCACGGGTTCTGTTCAGCTGGTTTTTCTTATTGCTGCAGTTGGTTTTTTCCTCAATTGTCTTCGGCAATCTTTAGGAATTGCAGCTATATCTTCATCAGTTGGATTCTATTGGCATTACAACCTTCCCAGCTGGATTTTTTCAGCTAGATTTTTAAGTATAATTTTTGCTTTAAGTCCATTATGCTTTATTTGGTCCACAAGGACACTGCAGCAATACAGCCCAGTTCAGACTTTATGATACATACAGACAGCTCAAAGTCCTATGAGATGAATTCTAGTCAGTTTTGACTACTGCTAGGAGATCAGGCAATTTAGAGTCCAACAAAATTGAGGCTTCTGGCGTTGACTTAGCTTGGGGATTTTATCAATAGTCTCTCCGTCTGTTGATAAGACTTCAGGCAGCTCACACTCCAGTGAAGGACAAACTCCTATCCAGAATTTCAAGGCAACCATAGATTTTTCTAGTAACTTAGGATAAGTTTAAATTCTTTTGAGCTTATCCTAATCATTTCAGGCCATTATCTTTAGTTTAGCTTTAAGAATTTATTTCTCTTCTTTAATTTTAAAATGCATTATGATGTAATTGCATGCATTTTTTATTTTATTTTACACATAATGTATTTAGATGCATATCGAGGTAAGGTACATATGTCCCCCTTGCTAGGTGTAATTTATTTCCAAAATCAATAAAATTTCATCGTACCGTCGAGGTTACTCAAAAAAATAAAAATAAATAGGGTTTAGGGTTTTAGGGGTTTAGAGTTTAGGGTTTTAGGGTTTAGGGTTTACGGTTTAGGTTTGAAGGGCACTATTCACGCGGCTGTTTACGTGAATAGCCCAGGTGATATTGGTGTTGGCCTTCTCAGCTGGTTGCTTTCCAACTGGATTTACAGCTAATTTTGTGTTGTTCTTCTTGCACTTTTGGCTCAACGAAGGTCTTTTTGTGGTTTATTGGCAGCTATGCATTTTGTAGAAAAAAAAATAGGGTTTAGGGTTTAGGGTTTAAGGATTTAAGGGTTTAGGTTTTAGGGTTTAGGGTTTAGGGTTTTAGGGTTTTAAGGTTTAGGGTTTTAGGGTTTAGGGTTTTAGGGTTTAGTCAGGGGCAATTTTATTTTCTAGAGAGGGTAGATCTTACTTCTCTTTACCTTTTTCTTTGCTTCTTGCGTTTTTCTTCCATCCTTTCGGTTGGTTCTGCTCATTTATTATGGATTCAGACCAGGTTCACAACAAAATTCCACCAAAGCCACCGGATTTTTCATAGATTCCAACCACAACCCCAAAAAATTCGCTGAATATTTTAAACCCAAAGATATCGGTACAGTTTATAAATTTAGGTCAGCATGGTACAAAAACCTCAAAACCGTTGCAAGAAATCGATCAAATCCCTGGTATGCCTTTCATGAGCTCTACCATTCAGCATAGATCAAACATTACAAATAACTTTACATCCCTATTCAAGAAACCCTCATCCATTCCGCTTGCTTTGGCGCCATCTTCCTCTTCACATCCTTCGATGCCTATGGATAACTCTCACTCTTCTTATCCAAACCACTCAGTGCCCTTGGCAAATCCCTCAATGTCCATGACCAATCCTTTGGTGCCCATGGCAAAGACCTCGGTACCCATGACAATTCGTTCGATGCCCAAGGTAAACCCGCAGCTTTCCTTGGTACCCATGACGGAATCTCAATCGGTTGAGGAATGCTCTTCCCCAGTCCCTTCAGTTTCTCTACTCAGGCCAACGAAGAGGGTGGTGAACAACAATGGCGAACCCGGGATTTATTGGTCCCTTGATGAAACTCAGGCCCTAGCTATGAAGTTCCACCAGACGTTAATAGGCAAATGCACCTATGGGAAGCCATCTATTGGGGTTATTAGGGAATTCATAGCCACAAGATGGCTTCCAAAGGGTAACTTCACAGTGGGGGTTTTGGACCCCAGTCATGTTCTCATCAGTTTCGATCTCTTCGCAGACTATGTCAAAACGTGGCTGAAGGACGCAACATACATCGAGGGATTTTTGTTTAGGTTCTTCAAGTGGTTCCCGGAGTTTCTGCTGGGGATTAAGCCACTGGTGGTTCCCATTTGGATACCGCTACCAGGTTTGCCTATCCATCTTTTTGATAAAGAAAGCCTTTATGATATAGTGAGCCCTATTGGGAATATTATTGTCATTGATTCGTCTACTCTCTAAGTAACAAGGCCAAGGGTAGCAAGGGTGTGTGTTGAGGTTAACTTGTTGGCGGATAACCCTCTAAGAATTTGGTTAGACTTTGGAGGAACAAGCGGGCACTGGCAGAAAATAATCTATGAGAAATCAGTAAAGTACTGTCCTAGGTGTCTGAAGCAAGGTTATGAAAGGATGGAATGTCGTAAAGGGAAAAGGAAGGAGAAGGAGATAGTGGGAAAGCAGGCGAGTGACCCAAAGGAGGAAGAGAAGTAGAAAGCTGATACTTTCAAGAAGGTTGTTGATCCAAAGGGGAAAGAAAAAGAATGGAAAAAAGTTACAAGGAAAGGAGGTCCCAAATCAAACTTGAAAGCGAACCACCAAATAACCAAAGAAATCTGTAAGTCAAAGGAATTAAGTGAATCTGGAAAGGAAGGAGTTAACAATTTCAATGTGCTACTAGGTGAGCATTCTGGCAAGGATGGGGATATTAAGGAAAGTATTGAAGTAGTGCTTCATAATGATGATCCATCTAATGTTATCAGTAATGTTAGAGTCCCAATAGCCAAGGAGAAGGAGGTTTTGAACCCACCTTTGTCTGTGATAGAGAGGGATCATGGGTTTGGAGTGAGTAACAAATATGTGTCTATTGGAGAGGATGGAAAAACGGGATATGATAATATGAAGGCATGTGATGAAGTCTGCCCTTCTACTCATTTACAGGGGGAGACGCGTGATGTAGTGCTGCTAGAGGATGGAATCCTTGAATGTTTGTTGAACCAACAACACTATTCATCTGCATCTTCTTCCTTCTTGGTGGATCATTCGTATAAGCGGAGAGGAAGACAAAATTTTTCCGTGGATGATGAAAATGGTCTGATTAGAGACAAAGAACCACCTAACAAGGGTTTTAGCTCTGACCAAGAAAGCACAAAGAATTGGGTTGATATGATAGAGGATTCGGCTGATGATGAAGCTCATAGGCTCGCTTTGGTTACTCAAATAGTAGATGAATACTCAGATTCAAGTACTGGGTGCAGTCCCAGAGAGAATGTCGTCCCATCTACTTTATGATGAATATTCTCATGTGGAATGTAAGGGGCGCTGGAAAGGAAAGCTTAAGAAGTAGGATAAAGAAATTAATTGTGATGAATAAGGTATGTTTGTTGGCTGTTATCGAACCCAAGATGTCTTCTTCTAAATTGAGAAATTTTGGTTTAGCTGTGGGAATGAATTCTTTTATGGTGAATACACTGGTAGAGAAAAATATGTGGCTTTTATGGAATGATAATCTGGTGGTTAAGAGTATGATAAATTTTGAGCAGGCTATGACTGTCACTGTATCACACTTAGGTGCTGACCCAGTCTTGATTACTGTGGTGTACGGTTACTGTGACAATTTATTAAGACGTCCTTTATGGAGGCACCTTTAGTACATTTCTTCCTCCTTTGCTATGCCTTGGCTAGTAATGGGGACTTTAATATTGTGATGAGATCAAATGAAAGAATGGGTGGCACTTCTCCATCTGTTTTGGCAATGGATGAATTTAGGGCTTGTATTCAATCGAAGGGTCTTATTGATTGTGGTTACGAAGGCAATAACTTCACTTGGTGTAATGGTCATCATGGAGGATCTAGGATGTGGCAAAGGATTGACCGAATGTTTACTAACACTGAATGGATTACCAAATTTCAGAATTCTCAAGTTCTGCATTTGGCAAGAGGGAGCTTTGACCATTGCCCATTGTTGATCAAGATTGTGGAGAATGATGGCTAGCAAAGGATCTCTAATTTCAAATTTTAGGATATGTGGGCTGAGGACCCTTCATTTTTGCCTTTAGTTGCAGACAATTGGAGTGGATGCTATGCAGGAAACCCAATAGAGAATCTCTTTTATCAAACTGAAAATACTTAAGCTCAAAATCAAAAAGTGGAACAAGGAGGTTTTTGGGAATATTTTTGATAAGATTAGTAAGCAGGAGTTGGCATTGAGAGAGGCAGAAAGATGTGTGAATGATAACTACTTTGACGCCACTGTGACTAACTTAGAAGCCACAAGAAAGAACTTAGAGGACACGCTTAGGTTGGAGGAATTATAATGGAGACAAAAAACTAATGTCAAATGGGCACTACAAGGTGAAAGGAACACAAAATTTTTGCATGCCCTGGCCAAAGGTAAGGCAGTGAGGAACTAGCTGCTAAGGATCAAAGGTGAAGATGGTGAATGGTGTGTCGCTGAGGAGGAGATTTCTCAGCATGTTGTTTCTTTCTTTGCTAAACTGTATAAGTCAAAGTATCATGTACTTGATGAAGAGTTGTTTGGGGTTATTCCTAAGCTTGTTGGACCAGCAGATAATGAGATCTTGACTATGGCTGCTACCTTACCTGAAGTGAAACAAGTTGTTTTTTCTATGTCTGTGGAAAGCGCCCCTTGAGCTGACGGCTTTTCTGGAAAATTCTTTCAAGTAGCATGAGATATTGTTAAAAATGACCTGTTGGAGGCGGTTAATTTTTTCTTGAAGGGGAGAGTGATCCCGAGGTTTGTCAACTCCACTCTCCTTGTTTTGATTCCAAAAGTGATGAAACCTACTTCTTTCATAGAATTTAGGTCTATAAGCCTATGCAACTTTTTGTACAAAATATTCACTAAAGTCCTCTCCAATAGACTTGCTTCCCTTCTTCCTTATTTGATTTCCAATGCACAACATGGTTTTGTCAAAGGTAGAGGGATTGGGGATTGTATTTCATTAGCCCAGTTAATGGTCGGAGAGCTTGATAGAAAAGTTGAGGTTGGCAATGTTATTCTTAAACTGGATATGATGAAGGTGTATGATCGCATTGAGTGAGATTTTTTGGAAAGAACTTTGGTTGGCTTTGGTTTTTCAAGCTTATTTGTTTCTATCATTGGCAACTGTCATAGTAGACAATCTGCAATGAAGATATCTCATTAATTAATTGCTCATCCAGTTCAGTACACAAGGAAAGATCCCAATGGCCATTAGAATAAACATCTTTCAGCATATGAAAACTCTGTGGAAAATCTTGAACACACAAAATCAATGGACCATGACCAGTCCAATTATCACACCAGATGTTAGTTGCAGCTCCATTTCCCACTATCATTTGAGAATGCAATACCACCTGCTCAAACCAATGACATAGATTTCTATAACTCTTGGAATAGGAATGCCTATGATTTCCTAGGACATGATGATTATTAAGATACTTTGCAGAGAATATCCTAGACCAAAGAGTTGAGCCATACATCAAGTTCCAAGATTGTTTCATTCTAAATGCTTTAGCAATATCCTCAAACTTCCTCAATCCAAGACCACCCTCCTCTTTAGGAACTATAATAGTAGCCCATAAACACCAATGTCTCCTAAACCCTAAACCCCAAAACTCTAAAACCCCAAACCCCAAACCCTAAACCCTAAAACCCTTAACTCTCAACCCTAAATCCTCAATCCTCAACCCTAAACCCTAAACCCAAACCCCAAAAACCCTTTCTTTTTTTTTTGGTGAACCTCGACGGTACGAGGGAGTTTTATTGATTCAAAATAAAATCCTAATTCCTAAGCCTTAAAACCCCTAAACCCTAAGCCATAAAACCCCCAAAACCTAAGCCCTAAAACCCCAAAACCTTAATCCCTAAGCCCTAAAACCCAAAACCCTAATCCCTAAATCCAAAAACCCTTTTTTTGGGTGAACCTCAACGATATGAGGGAATTTTATTAATTTAAAATCAAATTACACCTAGCTTAAAACCTAAAACCCTAAATCCTGAACCCTTTTTTTTGGTGAATCTCGACGATGCAAGGGAATTTTATTAATTCAAAATCAAATTACACCTAGCTAGAGGGGGACGTTTATACTTTTCCCCTCAATACTATCTAATTACCTTAACAGAATAAAAGACAATATGCATGCTTATTTCAGATCATACGAAATTAAATAAAAAACTAAGCATACTGCCTATAAATATAATAAAGACTACTAAGAGATCCCTAAGATCCTACTTGAAGAAAATAAGATCCTACTATAAAAATAGTTTTTTTTTTGCCTTTTTGTCTCTATTTTTTTACCTTTCTCTCTCCCAAAATCTTTCTTTCTCTCTCTCTCTCTCTACTTCGGCAAAACTAGAAGAAAGGAACGACAACACACACACACACACACTTTGTCATCTCCGGCAAAAGAATCTTCTCTGGCAAATAAAGATCGTCTTCTCCGAAGGCTGAAAGCTCTCTGGCGACTAGGTTACTTCAAATCTACTTTCAGATTTGGGTTGTTTTATATATAGATTGCTTTAGATCTTATCTCCAACGGCTAGGTTGCTTCAAATCAAATCTCTGATGGCTAAGTTGCTTCAAATTAGATCTGGATCAATTTTTTTACAAATGTGATATATTTAGGTTAGATCCAAGTATTTTGTCACTCTTTTTTCTTCGTAGGATGTTAATCAAGCCAAGTTTGAGCATTTTTTTAAGCTCGTTAATGTGTAAATAGTCTAACAAGTCTGCTCGTTTATGTGTAAATAGTCGAACTATTAGACTCGAATTCAGCTCGATTAACACTCCTAGTTAAAGATTTAGGTGTATTGGATTTTTTTACTTCGTCACTTTTTTTTCTTCGTTAGATCCAAGCATTTTTGTCACTTTTTTTTTGTATTTTATCAAGTTTAATATATTTTTTTGGTTCTGTCTATCTCACTATAATGATTTGGGTGTATGTTAGATTTTTTTGTTCTTTTGTCTCTGTCTCGTCTTCTCTGGCGATTGTGCGTGTGTGTTGTGTGAGTATGGGTGTATTTGTTGTGTGAGTTGTATGGGGTGGAGATTGAGATGAGATAATGGAGAGGGAGAGAGAAGAGAAAGATAGAGAGATGAGAATGGAGATAAAAATTGGGAGGTACAGATTTTGTAATATAAAATATCAAAACATATTTTCTTAAAATTTTTCTCAAGAATTATTTTTTCATACTATTTTTTAAGATGCAAATTAAACTATAATATAATTTTAAAAATTGTCTTCTCAATGCATTAAAAATATTTTGATTTTGCCCTTTAGCAAGATTTTGTTTCTTATTTCGTTAAAATTATATTGATGCCGATAAAATGAGCAATAAAAACTAACGAAATGATTACATTATAATATTTTTAATAGGTTAAGGTATAAAATGAATTCGTCCAAAATTTAAAACGAATACCGAATTTTAATATGCCGCCCAAAATTTTCAACATCCCACTCCTGTCCTACGCTTTACCCTTCACGCCTCTCCACTCTCTTCTCACGCGCGTCCCTCTCGCCTTCTTTTTCTGTTTTTCGCTCTCCCAACCCTCCTCACTCTTCCACATCTCTTCATCCTCAGCAGCAACCGGCGCCGCCTACCGCCAGCCACCGACAGGAAGCGACGCCACTGCAACGGGCACCGCCACACCCAGGTATGTGTCTCCCTCTCTCCCACCTTGCCTTTGCCACTTTTCTTCATCTCCCAATCTCACTCTCTCCTTACCTCTGGGCACTGCGAGCGACGGAAGCACCAACCCTTCCACCTTCCCCGTATCCGTTTTCATTCTTTTCCCTCCCCCCTTCATCTGTTGATGCGGAACTGCTTTGGCAGATTGGAATCCCTAGATGCTTCCGATAGCCCTAGGTTAGGTTTTTTGAAGATTCAAATAGCTCATGTGGTCTCAGTCGCCGTCTTAGGTTTGTAGTGTATTTGTGAAGCTTTCACAGATGTACAAATTCGCAAGTTTAGATATGTAAATTTATGTGAATTTTTGGTCTGTCTTCACACACAAATTGATGCAGGGAGAAGAGGTTAGAGTTCAAAAAATTGAACACCCACATATATAAAAAAAATGTTGAAAATGGAAACCTTACTTCTTTGACATATGACGAATCTTTAACACAATCTCCGTCCCAACAAAATGCCGCCCAAACAACAAATAAGAAAATCACACCTGCATGCTCTCTCATCACTGTTGTTTGCAAGGTATGCCTCTATCCGTCCCTAGTAGTAGTAATGTGTTCGATAGAATTACTCAACCATATCATGAATGGTTGTGGGGTTT